GGTCCAATCGATTACTATGATCAATAAGATCAAATGCCAATTATAAAGTAAGCAAGACCAGAAAGGTCACATTCCCCCTATCCTCCTCTCACCAGAAGTTATCAAACAGCAACCAATGCAGTTTCCATTGGATAACAAAGCCTGAATCCAGACTCAGATAAGGCTCCAGATAATCTGGATCCTCCAGAAGTCTACAGACATGGAATAGCTTTGTTATCTTTTTCTAATTTCTTTGCCTGCTTGAGTAATTGTTTGTAGTTAGCTTGTGTCAACTTGCAATTAGTTCCTGGTAGTTTTCTTCAGCATCTTGTATCAATCTGAAAGGATATGCAAGGAAAAAGGAAAGAAAATAGGTCAAAGGGAGGAGGTTCCCTTACGATCTTTAAAAATTGTACCGAAGCAAAACAAAGGTTCATATTTAACATGGCTGTTTTGGCAAAACAAGGTTTCTTGGCATAAATCTGGTTGGTTGGATTGACTGTTCTGCAGATTATTGTAACTGAACTGCTCCAACCGCAGGGTGTGCTAGATCAGAATTTCTCAACCCCAGCTACTTTAAGATGTGTGGCCTTCACTCCCACAATTCCCCAGCCATCATGGAGAAACGGGCTAAAATCTGAGGGCCAGTTTCATTTCTAGCTGATTTATGTATGAGAGTCAAGCAGTGTGGGAAAATCTCTAGTTGCCCAGGTTTCCTTCTGAATAAGCCAATTTAAAACTGCATTAGAAAACACCAAGTTAGGATAGTAGGCAAACCTGCATTTTTTGCTCTTGAATATTCTTAAAAGAAAGCTGAAGAAGCCAGTTTCCATATAAACTGTCATCCTTCTACCTTGATGTTTTGTTTTAAACAGCTCTTTTTTTATTTGCCAGAAACACAGTAACAACAGTATTTCCAAACTGATCACTCTAAAAGTATTCCTTCCCTCAGGACTAATGCTATTTATCAACAGTATATTTCATTTTCATACAGAGACTTGCAAAACGATACTACAGATGTCCAATTTTCCACTGAGACACTGCCAATCCCACTGAAGTGAGTTTGATGTCTAGGTCAACACAAATCTTGGTCTCGTACCAAGGGTTCAGGAAGCCCGAGTCCATTGGCCAGCATTCTGCTAGATTTTCATGAAGATCATAGCAGACTTCCAGTAAAAAGATAGGCGGTCACCGACCGGGGGAGCAAAGAAGTACCAGCCCAACCGGAAAGTCCCATAATGTTCTGGAAAGGCCTCCAGAACAAGCAAGAGAGAGGAGAGGTCTCCACCCAATAGCCTCATTTGTTTGCAGCTGCTGATGGTAACCAACAAACACCAACCAGTCTGGAAAACAAAAATTGTTCCAGACTGTTGGTCTTAAAATGTTCCAAAAACAAATGCCCAAACCTCCTTCTGGCCAGGTCTGATTATTCTCTCTGGAGCTTTAGATGCCATCTTCCCCAACATGATACCCACTTAGCATGTTAGCGCTGCGATACACAAAATTCCCATGGGGACATGTTAGATGGGGTTTCTGGGATTGGAAAGCAGCAGGTTGAGTGTATGAGAGAATCTGTTCAGAATGAGATGCGTTAATGGAATCAGTAAATTGTTTTAATATGTTCCAATTTGGAAGTTTAGTGACACAGCAGAAAAACGAATTGCACTAAATACCTTGTATATATACTTATGTTCCAAATTAAATAAAAAACCAAAAATAGAAAAGATATTATGAATTTAGCCATTAGACAGTTTCAAGCATAGAAAGGTGTGAGGCAGAGCAGCAGAACAAAAAGGCATTCAGAATGTTTTAAATCTTTATAGATTATTATTAAAATGAGTTCTTGGTTGGTTGGCACATTCATGTAATTTTTTTAGCTTATGCAAATGTTTTGCTGTTGCTATCTTTGGGGTATTTTGGATGGTCCTCCATTCAAGTACTAGCCAAGTTTGACACTGTGGAGCTTCCAAACTTAAAGTGGGCCAGGAGCTGCTATCATTCATTTCCCTCATTTATGTGAGATACTGAAATTTTTCTCAGCATTACAGCTCCCTCTGCCGATAAAAGCGAAACACTACAGCTTTCAAATAACAAGAGGTAGTGGAAAGTGGGATTTTGAGTTTGGGAGATAGGAGGTTTTAAGAGGCAAAGACTTTACTATATAAAGATAACCCAAAAAACCCAATCTAGTTTACAAGGACTTGGTATTCAAATGAGTAATCAGATCCAAATTTCTATAGGGATTAAGGTATCTAATTCATCCCTTACATTCCCTACCTTGAAAAACGGGCCCAAATATTTCAGCCTCACGCATTTTGGGACAGTGTGGGTTGCATCGCAATTGGGCCACTATTAAGTTCAGATGAAATCGATTTTTGTGCAGGTTTGCAACTTTCAAGATACAATCCCAGCAGAGAATTGTTCTTTTCTTTCTTCTGTGAGACAACCCTTGGAAGACCTGAGCAGCTGCAGCTATATTAAATAAGTTTTCCCTCTCATGTTGCAACATTTCTAATCCGACCAAAGACCAAACTCCATCTCACCCAAGCCACCTGAGTGCCCAAGTCTTTAAACAGGTTGTGCAGATCTCAGCTAATGATTCTGACTGAAATTTATTTCTTTAAAAGTACAGAGAAAAGCAACCAGGATGATTAGGGGAATGGAGACTAAAACATATGAAGAACGGTTGCAGGAACTGGGCTTGGCTAGTCTAGTAAAGAGAAGGATCAGGGGAAACATGATAGCAGTGTTCCAATATTTGAGGGGCTGCCACAGAGAGGAAGGAGTCAAGCTATTTTCTAAAGCACCCGAAGGCCAGACAAGGAATAATGGATGGAAACTGAACAAGGAGAGATTTAACCTGGAAATAAGGAAAAACTTTCTAACAGTGAGAGCAATCAACCAATGGAACAGCTTGCCCTTGGAAGTTGTGGGAACGTCATCACTTGAGACTTTCAGGAAGAGATTGGACTGCCATTTATCAGAAATGGTGTAGGGTCTCCCGCTTGGGTGGGGAGTTGAACTACCGTAGATGACTTACAAGGTCCCTTCCAACTCTGGTTATCTGTTATCTGTTATCCCCTGTCTAGTCGTGACTGACTCTAGGGGGTGGTGCTCATCTCTGCTTCTTAGCCAAGGGAGCTAGCATTGTCCAAAGACATTTCCGTAGTCATATGGCTACCATGACTATGCACGGAGGTGCATGAAACACTGTTATCTTCCCACCAAGTGATACCTATTTATCTACTTGCATTTGCATGCTTTTGTGGGGCAAGTAACTAAAGCTCATCCCGCTGCATGGCATACAGAGTCTTAAATCCAGGGTTTCAGCTTTCCAACTGACAACTTGGTGTCTTTAACACTGAGCCATCACACTCTCTTTTATTTCTTTAGTTCCAAATATAAATAAAATCAATCAAAATCAATCACAATCTAATATATACAAACTTACTATCTCTTTACATGCATTTGCCCAAACTAGTTCACAAAACAAGTGGAAAATGTTTAGTTGTAAATTAAAAGAATCAGAATAAGATAATTTGTCCATCTGCCTCAGAAATGTCAGAGGAATCCAAATTACTTAAATTAAAAAAAAACCATAGACAATCATAGGTTTAAATAGTTTATGTGTCAGTTAGAACAAGATTCAGGTGAAGACAGAAGACAAGTATATACAGATGGTTGAATCCTTCAGAAGAACAAGATCACTGAATTTAGAAAACTGTCTGGATGACTTTCAGTGAGAAAACAACAGCAGTCTCAGCAATTAACATTTATGTAAGAGTAGCAACAGCTCAACGATTTAGTTGCAGGATATAACCCAAAACCAACAACATAGTACATTAAAAAAAAATACACATCCTCTAATTGGTTAAAGATGTCCTATTATTCAGAAGAATCTTTTGAGTCACCTCTTTAAAATTCTTTGTTGCAGAAAAATTGATATTTCCTGAAGTTTAAAGTTATTTTTAATAAAAATTGAAGCTTTATACTGAATGTTTAGAACTTATTTGGAGTCATTTCCCCCCACTTTGTTGAACCTCTCACTTTCCCAAAGTCAATGAGAACAAAGCAAAGAAAAAGGAAACATCCCAGATTGCACTGAAATCCTGATCATGTTAGTCTCCAGAATCAAAGTAGTCATTTTCAATCATGTCACAGTGCACAATGAATACAGTAAAAGTTTATCACGCTTAGAAAGCCCAAATGGTTAGAAGCCTAAAGAAGCAACCTTTTAAAAATACTGAACTTCCCGGAGGGAGATAAGTACTCTATACCCTAGGTTTCACCTTCCAAAAATAGTACTATACAGCCAAAACCATCTGAGACAATACTACAAATTGGGGCATGATGATGTGTTAGGAACTACAGCCAACTATTTAGCTTGGCTTTTAACATATATAAAACTTTGTCACCCCTAGGCTAATACTAATCAATGAGATGCTATTTGCAACCCTTTAAAAATGAATGCTTTTATAAGAGAACGAGAACAGCAATGTCGAGCCAAATTTTGTATAAAGTCTCAGAAGGAAACAAACTATATTTGCTATAGAAGTCTGCCAAGTTATTACCAAAAATGTAATATTCACCTATTTCAAATGGCTGAAGATCAGTGACATTCTATGAAATCAATAACTAGATACATGTTTTTGTTTCTTTGTGAAAAAAATACTCTTTGTTCTGAGTAATTTGTAGTAAGACAAGGTTGCCAATAATAGTATTATGTTTAGTGTATGCAATATTACCCTTCTCATAAATTAGCTTATCTTCTGGGGATTTTTTTTTACTATAAACACATTGACTAGTATGCATCTTTTTTTAACGAGATGATGAAACCTTATCTGTAGACCCAATACGTCTTGGAAGTAAGGTCCAAGATCCAATGCAGCATAACTAGATTTCTGTTAGCACTATTTTCTCTTCCTGCATGCTCAAAAATTCTGCTTCAGAGAGTTGGAGACACCATTGCAGCAGATTTCAGGAAGGCAAGCACACAGAATCAAATTTCAGTGTAGTTTTTTTTTTTTTTTTGGAGATTCCAAGTGAGCATTTGTAACTTCTAATGTGATGGAATTTTAATGCTGAACCTTGAACTATTTTGAAGGCATTTTCTAAGATTATTTAAGAACTTTAGAGAAGTCAAAGCCAGCCTTTAACTTTTTCTGCATGTTCAGTGATAACACCGCAGAAAACAAGCAAATACAGTAAAAGATGGTAGCAAACCTATTTTTTTCTCCAACGTCCTATCAGAAGCTCTCTAGTTTAGAGTTTGTGGATTCTATAGAGCAGGGGTGTCAAACTGGCAGCCCACAGGCCAGATGCATCATGGGCAGGCCCTGTCCACTCCAGCTCTGCGAATGGGAAAAACGTCACAAAATATCACATGATGGCAACTTGACTCAACGAGTTTGACACTCACGGTATAGACATTGTAGCTACCACCATTTTCCCTCATAATTTTTTTTATACTGAGGCACTTGTTCAGATAAAAACGTTTACCATACATTTTTCCCTATTGAGGCTAAGCAAACAGTTTTCATATCTAGGGATCCTGACTTCATATCCAATACCTATACATTTCAGAAGATGCCCATAAGGATGACACCATAAGACAGAAAATAGACAAAATCCCCAAACAAGAAAAATATGGGTAATGCCAAACTAAGACACAACATTGAGAAAATAGCTTACCACTTTTTGTTGGTTTTTTTTAGTTTTCACTTTTTATGGGAAAAATAAGATTGACGTTCACTGCAAAGAAATATTGTATGTTGCTAGCTACAAGAGAACCAAAGAAGTAGACCTTCTGAATGCCTTCTTGAATGAAGAATCAATAGTGACAGCTTTTCTGGATCCTCTACTATTCCAATGCAAAAAAACCTCACATAAAGTTCTGCATCAGGATCACAAGGAACTCAAACGTAACAAAAACAGCCCATAAGTGCATACTTCTTTCCTTGAAAGATGGCACCGGGTTTTTCAGCATGCTACAAATGCAAAGAAATGCTGATTGCTGGGTGAAAGATGCTTTTGGATTCTAGCCAAGTATAATAAGTATGGAAAGACAGCTGTTCTGAATTCAGATTTCTAAGGGATGAGAGGTATCAAATTGTAATTGGTGCAACCAGGTACCCAAACAACTAAGGAAACTAAAAAAAAAATCAAACTCCAACACTGTGAGATAAAAATATTTCTGAGCTCAATGACATATATTCAAAAGATAATGGCAAAACATTCCAGATCTGCTCCCCAGGAAAATTTAAGGCAGAAACTGATTTTATGGCTCAAAGCCTCTTGAGTGTAGCCTTCTCCTCAACCTATCCTGGAAATATAGACACCCCGAAATCCAGCCTCTCCAGGAAGTAAGACATCCTAATAGCTCTGGAGTCACAACTGATGGTTTCAGAACTTTAACTGGAATGATCTGCCCAGGAAAATGAACATACTTGCTGCTCATAATAAAACAAGTAAAGAGACTCCCAATTTCATTTGCTTATTTTTGGCATCCAAAGCAAAAGGCTAAGATGTCAAAATTCATCTTCATCTTCCACAAGGAGGGTGCCTAGATTTACATGAAGTCATCGGAGTCATTGCCATCCTGTGAAAGGAAATACAAAAAATGTGTCAGGAGGGATATTTTTTATGACTTTAATATTTTAGGCTGCTCAGCACCACCCGGATTTAATACCAGAACCCTTTTCTCTCTTTTTCTTTCAGTTAACTGTTGTAACTTCCTCAGAGAAAGAAATATTGAAATCACATTCTTCCATTCCTATGATCCCAAAGTAGAGATTTGCAAACATTTTCATCTCACAGCACACAGCCCATGCAGAAATGGCCTACCAAATGTCAATTTATTGGAGGCATTCTTCTTAATGGAAAGTCTGTAATATCTGAAATGTTTTAGTACAGACAAGAAGACACCTAACATGACAAAGCTGCAAAAAATTATTAATGATGTGGAAAAGTAGATAGAAAAAAGTTTCTTTCCTTCACTTATAATAAGAGAATCTGGGGATTGTCCAAGGAAGCTAATTAGAGAAAATGCAGGACAAATAAAAGATAATATATTTTTTATCAAGTACATTGGTAAACTGGCATTTGTTTAAAAAAGACTGATTGATACTTTAGAAAAATTATATGGAGTGTAATGCTATCAATTACTGTTATATATAATGGCTATGCATGACTTATCTAAGACTTAACTATGGGAAGAGAACGATGGACTGCATTCATCAAGATAGAAAGTGAAGGTCTCAAGACTACAGATTTTTCTACTAAAGTAGCCGAGGAAATTAGGACTCAATTAGGTAAACAAGAAGCATTTCGTTCTCTGTCATTCTTCTGTATGTGTTTCTTGCTAAGTCCTAAGATGAAATGTGGACTCAAAGAGGACTATCATAATATCTATAGTCTCAACACAAAAGTATCAAAAAACACACCTGGTTAGAAGTCATATTCTCTGCTTTCATTAAGGAAGAGTAACTTCTATAAAAAGAAAACAAATACATTTTAATGTCTTGAGGTTAAATAATTAATATAAATGGGAATTTTGCCAGTGAGGTAAGATCCAGCATGAGTGACAACAACAGGAAAAAAAAGTAAGATTATAAATTCTAAGTTAAAAGTCTAAGTGTAGAATAAAATTGTGACAATTAGAATTCATGACTAGAATTCAAATTTCAGTTTCCATAAATCCAAAAGTGGTTTGGTTTGAATGATAAGCATAAGACCTGTACAACGGGGAGTAAGATGCTGCCATGCTTATTTAGTGAACTTTAAAACCTTACTTGTAATATGACCAATTAGAAATTGATACTGGCAGTGTCTTTTGATTGAACCACATGGCAAGTATCAACTCTTGCTGAATTTACCTTCAAAATCTCTCAGACAAAACAATCTTAAAAGATTCCTGTAAACTCTAAAGACACAAAGCTGCAATACACAGGTAGTCCTTGCTTGATTACCATAATTGGCACCAGAATCTCAGTTATTCAGTGAAGAAATTGTTAAGTGAAATCCCCACATAACTGCTTTGCTCAGCAACCACAATCCCAGCACTCCTAGTTACACTTGTTCTCCTGGATCATTAAGCAGACAGAAGCTTGCCAAAGGATTTCAGTGCCACACAGAGTTGAAACTCTCCCAGCTGGTGCCCATTTCACTCTTACACATTCTGTAGTCTGCCAAAGGATTTCAGCTCCCCTCTGGCATGGAAGGGAAGTCTTTTGTGGGGCTGCAGAAATGGAGCTGAAATCTTCAGGATTTCTCTCTTGGGCATAAAAGAGGGAAAGAGAAACTCTTCCAAGATGCTGTTACTATGCAATTTAGAAATAAACAAGAGTCAGAATCATTTGTGTGATATGTGTTTCCTGACCAGTCCTGGCTTTTCTTGAAGGACTGACAATTTCTCAGATAGGATATATTTTGAGACAACTATTCTGAAATAGCAGAATGTAGTTGACCAGCAAGAAACTATCAAATTGGACCAGTACAATTCTACATACTGTGCAGTTACAAAAACTGCCCACCCTGGTTGCATGCAAGGAAACCAAGAAGAGAAAGGGAGGAAAGAGCAAAGAAGAACATTTTGATTAGTGGACTGTATGGCTAGAAAAAGCTGCAATCCATTCCACCCTAGGAAATTAATTACTTCATTTCTTACATTAAAACTTATGTTTGTTACAAGGTTGCATGTGAGCATTCTGTTGACTGTACAGCACAAACTGTTAACTTGCAACAACATTAGGATGAAGCTGAAATCTTGGCATTACATTACCATTATTTGAAAGTTCTATTTAAAGTTATTTGGAACGTTAGGGGCACAGGAGAGGAATCAAGTAGGAGTTGGGCTGGGATCCAAGCAAGATGTTGAAGAAGCCAAACCACCTCGCTTCCCAATTTAAAACAAAACTTTTCCATGACCTGCTAAACATCCAAAGTTATGGATACTGTCTGTGCTTATCAGTTCAATCAGACCTTCCATAGCTGCCCATTCTAGGGATAGCAAGAAAGGAACCCATTTCCTCACTCACCTAAGCTCTTCCAGTTCCTTTTTCTTTTTCATTTCTTCCTTCTCCTTCCGTTTTACCTCTTGGATCTGGGCCTTCTTCTCATTCCTCTCCTCCCTATCACGGGCTTCTTTCTCTGCAGCCAGGTCTGGGAATCGTTCCACTTTGGTCTTTTCCAATCGGTTCAAAATCTCATTTATCTTCTTCTCCACTGTCACTATCTTCACCTTGGAACAGGAAAGAACTGTAATTCTTATAAAAAATGTAGTTGAAATAACTTTGAATAGCACTCAGATTTCTATTCTTTGAGGCAACACTGATATAGAAGCACCTCAAATGGTCATGTACTTGGAGACCCAATACTTTTACGGGTACTAAGAAAGTGGACATTTAAGAGATACTATTTTGATCTGATCCTGGTGTAAACAAGATTATTACAAAAATTACTACAAAAAGGCAACACTTGTCACCATGTTTGTTTTTACTATATATTGACTGTTACAGGCACCAAGCCATCAAAGTAAAGCAATGGTTCAGAGAACTTTGATTTGATGATTTAAATAGTTACTTCCAACTGTGCATTTTTGTGATTCTTAGACGATGGAGTAAAATTGTATTTGGCACCATAGATACAGAATTGATGTCAATGTCACTGAAATATTTTCTATCCATACCGCAAAATAAAGGAAAAGAAAAGAATCAATAGATTTTGAGATTGGGATGAGGAAACTTGGATCGGGTTTTTAATGCTTCCAGAAGCCACTCTCAGGAACCCTCTGGAAACAGCATCCATAAGATTTGCTTCTGCCTTTCAAAGTAGAGTTTTGGAACATTGGAGAGCAATCACTGATTTAATAAATGCAATTAAAGAAGAGAAAATTCTGAAATGTATGAGCTCCCTTGGATGCACTATTAGTTACCGAAGTACAGACAGCAGGAAACCACCATTCCTTCCAAATTCTGTTATATACTCAAACCCCATAAAGTCAATGCAGAAAGAAAATCTCTGAAGGCTGTTCTATAGTGTGAGGCTTTAAAAAAGAGAGAGAACCCCTGCTCGTATTGACCAGAATATTCTGATTGTCCTGGATTTACTTCTAAGTGTTAGTGACAGATGTTCTTTTAGAACAGCGGGACACTATCCTGAGGTTCACCAAATAAAAACATTAAGGCAATTAACTTTCTGCTTTCATTTGGTTAAAAATACATTTTGAAAAATGCAGGGGCCTCCCATCTTTCATTCACAGCCCTCTGGTGTCACTGGAAAGGACTTATTTATCCAGGTTCAGGATATTAGATCACTTGCTGAAAATAATGTAGGAAGTTTTCAAAGTAGTCAACATGCCAAATAGCCAGCATGTATGTTCCCATTTGGAAAAAAAGGATACTTACTATCCTTAGCCCCACTGACCCCTTCACTCGGGGTCTAAATGACCCTGAATTGAAGTCACATCTACATGTTCGGTCCAGGGGATAGATGCTGGACTGAAGCTTCATAAACTTTGTAACTTCTACTGCTATAATTGCTGATAGTTCCAGAATAGGTGGGAAGAAGCCCAATAATTTCTATGTGGTTTCGGCCAAATTTCACGTATTCATACAATTGACAAATACTTTAAATCCATATTTATTCTCAAGAAAATAATAAACATTATACTTCTGTATTATGTTCTGTATAATGTTCTGTAATGGCTGGCTCTCAGTGGAATTTTCTCCATTGAATTTTTCAGATTCTTCTGCCTTTTAAAAAAAATGGTAAAACCAACTTCTTCAGCAATGCTCTTAGCTTTCCTAAAATTAGTTGGCTAAGAGTGTATGAAGATTCTCAGTCCACCAGGTCATGGTTGTCCCAAAGGCTGGCTAACAATAATTCAGCGACTGGATTTCTTCCAAGAGAAATAAATATATAGAAATAAAAGCTTCAAAAGGTGATAGATCACATACAGTTTAAAGATTTTTTTTTTAAGCTTGGAAATCTCAGTTGAAGGAGAAACAGCAAACATAAAGGCATGAGTCTTCCACTTTGAAAGATACTTGCTATTTTTTTTCCTAATTATTGTATGGCATTTATTTTACTATGGTTGCTGGAGATATTTCCTCCAAATTTCTTTCATGCTTTTATTTTCCTTTCTCTCTCAAAAATGTATTTCTAAATCTCTAAAGGCAAAGAAAGACAGTGAAAATACCAATTTAAATCAAACCATTTCGCTGGTCCTTAAGTCATCCTGGGGGAAAGACACAGAAACCTTTCCCAGACCCATCTCTATAGGGTTTTTTTTTAATCTAGGAAGGCAGAAGCTAATGGAAGATCTTGTATGTGCAAATCATATGTTTTCCCACCAAAACCCTTCTCCTCTCCCAGGTATTCAAAGATGATCATAACAATCCAAGAGCACTGTTCCCAGCAGCTTTGGATAACCTTCTGAAACTACAGGGATAATAACAGAGAATATAGCTACCAGCCAAAGATGATTGGGATGGACCTTCATTGGTCAACTCTTGTTGGTACCCTTCACATGGCTGTCTTTCTGTCCCCAAGAACATGTGTGTGATATGCTTTGTCCTTTCCTTTCATTTTTTTTACCAAGACCAATTCTTTCTACTTTTATCTTTTGCAACTTGAAGAGCCAAATTTAGTGAACTGTATTTTTTTTTTTTTATCTGCACAATTTATTCTAAACACAGGAACTGCAGATGGGATAGCACTAGAATATTAGAACTCAAGACAATCATCTTGCAATCAAGTTACTAGAAATAAAAGGAAGCCATGTATAACCAGTTGCTACAAAAGGCATCACAGTTTAAACACTGACTATGTTTTTCACACAATGTCATTCATTGGGAGTTTAGCTGAACTTCATATTAGGAAACTGAAAAGTTAACACAGGACAATGCTGTTGACCCGTTTGTGTTGCGACCTGCAAAGGTTCCAATCAATATCAGATCTCCAATGCAGCCTCAGAATTTTCATGGAGTATACCAGCTTTAATTTTAGTGGTAAGAGAAGAAGCCAAAGATGCCTGTGCTTTCCCACATACTCTTTCTGCATTTTACAGAAGATTAGCAAAGTCTCCCATTAGCTTCTTGGTCTGATGGATGAAAGTAGCTTGAAACCTTTGGAGAGGTCAGAGAAGAATAAATACTTACATCCTTTTGTCTATGAAATCCAATCTGGCCCACATCCATATCTGCTGTTTTCTTTAGGTTGGCCCATGGAGTATATACTACATTGACATTATTCATTTTGCAGCCTAAAAACAGAGATAAATTATACAGAAAAAGAGTAATTATGCCAATTTCTAGGCATCTTTTTCAAAACCTTAATTAGGATCAGAAACATTTACATTGTAAGAATACAATATCTACTGCGAAGCTATTTTCCAAGAAACTTGAAATATCTTTTGTGTTTCCAATTATGTAAAAGAGACAGAAAGAATGGAAGATCTCATCCTCTCCCACAATACTACCCAATCATGCTATATCACATCTGCTAAAAATTGAGGCTCAGAGCAACTGACTAGCTCCAGTTGTTCCCAGAAAGGTACTAGTTAGAGACTCTCAATCTTTCATCTGTCTAATTCCTGCAGGAACAGGGAAGCAATGCCAAGAATTAAAGAGAAGTTCCAAGATTCTCAGGATGAAGTTTTTAAAGACCACAACTGAACAAACCATCTGCTTCCCATGAGATAGTCAAGGCACAAAAGGAGTATCTAAATATAAGTCATAATTCAACAGTTATAATCCTCCACATGTAGCCCTACACATTTTGCCATTATTCTCTAGCTTTGAAGTGTGGAATTTATTTATTCAAAACTGACACAAATTGAAAAGAATTCTGGATAATGTAACATTTATTGTTCCACACATATCCATTTTTGAGGACATACTTAAGACTTTGAGTAGCATACCAAAGGCTGCATTTCAGAAATGATTGTAGGACAAAGATTAGGTTTAATTTCAATTATTGAAATTTTTTCTTCTATCCCAGTGGTTCTCAATCTTTTTTTCACCACAGACCCCCTTCAAGTATCTTTTGTGGCCATGGAGCATGACCACAGACCATCAAGACTTAACTCAAGATTTAAAGCACTAGACTGTATCAAATATTCATGGACTCCCTCTGACATTGCGGCCTCCCCAGGGGTTTGTGGACCATAGGTTGAGAACCACTGTTCTATCCTGTTAAAAATCACTATACAATTTGATAGCAATTTTGGAGCCATCTTGGAGGCTGGATGCAAGTTCTTTGGGGATTTTAGATAGTTTTACTCTGACAGAAATTGGATTAACAAGGCTCCATATTCTTTACTACTTTATAATTTTAGTTTTATCCATATTTCCTCCCAAAAGCTCAACAATAAATTTGTACCTAGACCTCAAAGTCCTGAATTATGATTCAGCCCATGAAATGTTTGAATGATTTGAAACTGGGACTCTGAAATTTAAGTCCTGTGTTTGATCCCCTAATATTACACAGTCCTTTCTGAACACTTACACTGTAACACATTTTGTATCTGCCTAGAGTGCCTTCTCCAATTATTAAGATGTGATCCAAGTCAATGCAATGAATGCAGATACAGTAGGATAAAAGAATTTAAAATGTATGAGATAACACCGAGGCTTCTTTTTAATCCTATGCCCATGGTGCCCTAATATTTCCTCGAGAAAAGTTTCCTGAATCTAAGGCACAGAGCTGAAAGTAATTTTCAAGACTAAAAAACATCTGTCGAGAGCAGGCCAGGAATGCTTTACAAGTTGACCACATCTCTAAGAGACGCTCAGTGGCTTATGGTAAAAGAGTTCATATAAGCATTTGGTTCAATTTGTTATAGGTTTCATGCCCTTAATATAAAACAGAACAGAGTACAAACCTCAACTTTCAACTGCTCATATCTCCTAGACGGCAAGCAGGCAAATCTAGCAGTTGTAAAGTTCTAGGTCTGGAATTTTGAGCAAATCAGAAAAATAGAAGCATTCCAGAAACCCAACAACTTCTGGCTTAGGTGGAAGAAAGGGAACATAGAAGAACACTCCTGGAACTAACCAGCCAACTGAAAGAATAAGGCTCCCATGCAGTTGGTGCATAATACTCATTCTATTATTATATTTTATTTTTAAAAAATATACTGGATAGCTAGTCATTAGGCGATTAATTGAAATTATAGAATCTGGCTCTCCTAAAAGGATCCTTGAGTCTGACTATATTCATGGCATTTTGACTTTACTCTCACTAGAGGAAGAAAGCCAAACCCACTAATTTGGATTGGCAGAAAAGTCAAAAGGGGGGGGGGGGACTTCTGGAAAGCAGTTTGTGAACTGTGTCCCCCAGGTAGAGCTGTCTTACGTATCAAACTATGTCAACTGAAGAACTGTGGATTTAACAGTCCAACACATCAGCATAGCATAAGACTGATTTAGAGGGAAAAGCTGAGTAAGTTTCTGTGATCTTTATGCTGGTTAAAAAGGAGGGAGTAAGGGTAAAATCTAAAGTTTCCTGAGGTATCAATAGTTACTGACAGTATCTTAATTATCGAGTGTTTCCCCATGGCAGGAAGCATCAAAAGCTAACAGGACGAGGCAACAATCATTCCTTAAAAAGACCATAATTGTTGTGGTTCGCCGGCAGCCTGTGCAAAGGGCAGCAGAATCAGACAGCGGGGAAGAACAGGGACCAGTTTGGGAGTCTGGAGATGACTCGGACAAGGGTCCTGCGTCTGATGCAGAGATGGGGCCAGGACCATCTGGGAGTGAGTGCTGATTCCGGAGCCTCTGGAATCTGGCAGCAGCAAGGCCGAGGAACAAGGGGAGCCTGTTCCCAGTGCGCGTGTGTGCAGAGCTGCTAGAAGGCAAGAGCAGCTGAGACAAAAGGGACGACTTGGGAATAAGGCTTGGAGGTGATTGCCCCTCCCATAAGGTATAAAGGACAGGCAAAGGTGAAGAAACCTTGGTAGGAAGCAAAGACATTCATTCTGTTCAGATTAATCCTTGAAGCTCTGTGTGGACTTTGTACTTCAAAGTCCTCTATGTGGACTTTGTACTGGTTTTTTATAATTCATTTGGCACTCCAGTTGTTGGCAGCAATTCAAAAGAAAGAAAGGTGGGTGCTTATCTCGAAGGGACTGTTTGGGACTCATTACTGGCTGGGAATTAACATAATTCCTAGTGTTGAAATAAAACAAGAGTTGTTTTAACTAAGCGTGTCTCGGGAAGCCTTGGTCAGAACAATATAATAATTTTTGAAAATTCTGGGACAATACTGGCCGAAACAGACACTAAGAAATGTGGAACATACAGTACTTTACTTGGGGAATTATGTTCTCTTCTCCCTCACCCCCAGCAATGATTTAGAAGTTAAGTTGGGAAAAGAAAGACTTCATACTGGCAAAAATCCCATAAATACATGCAGAGTCACTGGGATTCTGGGGAGGGAGGGAGGGAGGGAGGGAGGGAGGGAGGGAGGGAGGGAGGGAGGAAGGAAGGAAGGAAGGAAGGAAGGAAGGAAGGAAGGAAGGAAGG